AGCCTCTATAAAGTGAGGATAATGATATCTACATCTCGTTAGTTTCTTGTAATGCATGGAAGACGATACATGTAAACATTGCCTGGCACATGCAAAGGGCTCAATAAATGTGTTATTTTTAAATATCATTTTAGTATTGGGATATTTAAACTATTTGTCTTTTCACAACCTGTCACTTAGGTTTGCCTGTAGCTGTGCCTTTCCTACTTTAATCTGTTATGGGCTCAAAAATCAGATAATTACAGAATTAAATATAAAGACTCAAAATCGAAACCAAAAGCTCTCCTTTGAATAACGAGCACACACTTCAGAGCATGGGATTTCAGATCTCTCTTTTGGCTGATAGGCAGTTTGCTTGTTTATCTTTGCTGTCCTTACTATTCCAGATGTAATACGGTATTTATTTATTGCACATTTTAGATAAGATAATCACAATGTGAAGTGTGGCTTTGTCACTGGTAAAGGGGAAAAAAGGCAGTGTCATAAATTTGACCACAAACTAGTGACATTAGAAATAAACAACCATTTGTTTTGGAAGTGGTCAGTGGTGACGATGCATAATTTACTTGATTTTGCGTATCACTTGAAACAACAGCACAGAGAAGTCTGAGAAGCTGAATTATCTTATATAGAGTTTGCCAAAAGGAAGTAAAGTATTAAGAACTACCCTTAGCATTCCTTCCAAGTATCGCTGTGAAGCCTAGGTCAGCACACTTTTCCTGTAAAGGGTCAGATAGTAAATATTTTAGGTTTTGTGGCCATATGGTTTCTGTTTACTCAACTCTGCCAAGGTAGCCAGAAAGTAGTCATAAATGATATGTAAACAGATAGGTGTGGCCGCACACCAATAAAACTCCCTATATGGACAATGAAATTTGATTTTCATAAAACTTTAATGTGTCAGGAAATATGATTTTTCTTCTGATTTTTTTCTCAACCATTTGAAAATATAAAAGCCATTCTTAGCTCAAGCAGCACAAAAACAGGTGGTGGGCCAGATTAGGCCAAGAAGCTGGAGTTTTTTCACCCTGTTCTATTCTAAAAGTTCAACGACTATTGGTTGATGTTAACAACACATTCCTCCTACTGAAAACAATTTGAAAATTAAGAATCAATCCAGCATCCCTATTACCTCTTCCCACTTTCTCTTTTTGAAAACTACCTGACTTAATTAAAACAAGGCCAATTAAGTTCTTTTACTGGACACTTTAAATGACAGTTTCAAACTATAACTTCATAAACATAAGGCAGCATCTTGACTAGAGGCACTTTAGCGACAAATGACAAGAATAGGGACCAAGCTGTCATGTGGATCTCACATTTACAAAGCAGCAAAAGATACTGACAGCTTATATACCGCATGAATACAAAAACGACATTTTTACCAAACATTCATCATCATGATATGGCCTTGCTTAGGGGGATGAATGGAGAAGCAAACTTACAGTAAACCAGTATCACAAAATGTTCTTAAGAATGAATGACATTGCCCAAAGTTTTAGATAATACTAAAGGTAAGTTTAATGAAAATTATGTTACTCCCTAAGTACACCTAGACATTGTTTCTTCAATCCTTGGAGGAAAAAAAAAACACACAGTATAAAAGGTATGTGAGAAATACTGCAGTCTATAATACTTCCTCTTACTTTTATACAACTCCTCCTTCTGAAAAGCTCAGAAGTATATTGCATTCTTTCTTCCATTTGCATATGAGTCCTATGTAGATGTTGCTATATCTTTTTAAATCAAAGGTGATGGAGTTTAGGACACGGTCCTCCAAAATATGACACTTTGGCATTTGAGAAAACACCAGAAGCTGGGAAGATCATTCACACCTCCCCCTTCACTTCTCTCCTGAAGCAGGCCATAAAAGAATTCTCTGCCCTTCCTTTGAGGAAGATGCTCATTCCATGAGAGCCCACTCTATACCTGGAGAAAAAGAAATGCCCTAATCTTTGAAGACAGAGAGATGCCAAGAAGAATCCAAACAAACAGGCCTTGCTAAGTTCCAGCAGTTTATTACCTTTAGATCATACCCTTTGGTCCTCCAATCATACTTCTGTATGACCATAAAATGACCCAGGTTTCCCTGTTTCTTTGGGTCTTCATTTCTGAAGGCTCCGATGTCATGTAAAACTTATATTAGATAAATGTATATGTTTTTCTCTCGTTAATCTGTCTTTTATTTATAGGTGCTTCAGCAATGAACCTTACGATGGGTGAGAAATCTTTTCTTCCCTACAAGGAGAAGTAAAGAAATGTTAAAATTGTTTGCTGGAAATAATTCACAGAGTCCTTGGCAGAAGAGAGAATGAGGAGAATTGCTGAATTACCAACCTGAGCCTTCTTTCAAATAGACGATAACCCAGTTCCTTCCAGAAATGGAAGCCTGTACTTTCTGGGATGAGAAGATTCTGACATAAACGCATTCATGGCCCTGTACTACAATGGTGACTACCAATAACACCATCTTTGTAAAGACCGTCATTGTCATTCTGGACAAGTCAAGGATTGACTGTACTGATGAACCGTGTGACAATTATTTTAGTGATTTGTCATCAACAGGGCTAGAAGAGTTTTGTGGGGTTTTTTTTTGTTTTTGTTTTTTAAAGCACAGCATGTCTAAAATCCACCTGAAAGAGAAGCAATTCCAATTTATTTGAGTTGTCTGGTCCTTTTCCAGAAAATATTTTCCCAGTAATGTACTGTACCAGCTTTACTCTAAAAAGTGTCTGATCTTCTGCCACAAAATCAGTGTTTTGAGACCATAAGGAACATCAAATGTCAAAAGGGCATCAGTACAAAACCAATAGAAGAGTATCTTTGATTTAGGATAGTTTTATTTATAACAAGAATTCATCGATCTGCTAATTTTACAAATCAAGGGGCACCTTTTTCATTTAGTTTATCCTTAAGTGCCCCTTGTACTGAGTTCCTAAATGAACTCTTGTTTTGCATGAATACGGACTTTCTTAGGAACTACAATGCAATCTGAATACCAATAAAAAGACATCTAACCCAACTCCACCTCCTTTCAGAACGGAAACTTTTCCTAATTAAAAAAGGGAGTTTATATCTTGAATAGACAAGTATTTTCCAGGTCTCTGTCTATTCAAGATACAAATTAATTTTTGACATTTAATTAGGTATGTGCAATGTTAACATTATACATGAGCTTCATCAGTGATGGAAACCCTACCCAGGCAGAGCAAACCTGTTCTTTTCCTCATAACACTGTTCTTATTCCTGTTCTATCTTCGAAAGCATTAGTAAGAAAATGCTGAAAGCTATCATTCTTCAAAATGTTTACCCAACACTGTGACCCAGTTGTAAACTTTCTGTAACCCAGTGGAAACACTTCTGTAGAGAATGAATGACTCTCAATCTAGCACAAACATACTCCAAAGGAAAAGCACCATGACTTCTAAGAGATCTGAGGAAGAGAGAGCTAGGTCAAGACAATGGAGGCAGTAGTTGTTCAAATAAAAATTAATGAGCAGTGTTGGCAAAGGAGCAGACATTCTTTGGAAAGTGAGATAACAGGTCTGTCTTGTTTAGGGATACGTTTAACACAGTTTTTAAAATATCACAATACAAGCTTGAATTCTACTTCTATTTATTGCAGGATATATTTACATCTGTGTGGTAATTCATCTCAGACTTTTGAATAATTGTTTTCTGTGATCTACCCTGAATGATGTATTATTACTCATTACAAAGTAATTAGTAATCGACTAGGTATAGTTCAAAGGGGATTATAAACAAATAAATCCTGGGAGGTGGAGAGCGGGTGGGAATGAAGGAAGTGTTGGAGTCACACAAGGGGAAGTTGATTCCAGTAAAGGCTGAAGGTGGGAGATACGAAGTGTTCCTGGCAGGGAAATCACAAGGCCAGGACAACACTTAAGAGTAAGAAGTGTGTGACCTTGTGCACACCAAGATGGATTGCTTCAAAGATTGGATCTCATAGACAAAAAGAAGGGGCTGTGCTGAACACTGAGATTCTTTCCAGTATCCAAATACCAATTTATATCTCCACCCAGGGAAGGGGCCCCACTAGCTCCGGCTGGAAAAGTTCACCTTTCATTCAGCAGATCTAGCACAGCGCCCAAGCCCTGGGCCCTGCGCCCGGCCTCCGCCTTCACCTAAGGACACTCCTCCATTGCTGAGCGCCCCGAGGGGGAGCAGTGCAGGTAAGTGGCTCTTCGAAGTTTACGGGGAGCTTCGCACACCTGAAGCTGAAAGAACTGCTGAATCAAGGTGCCTCGACGTTGTCAGATCCTAGGCAATCAGATGGTCCCTTTCCTCTCCCCAACCCCTCTTCCCACTCTGAAAAGAAACCGGATCGGCCAGCCCGCTCAGAGGTCACCTGCGAAGAGCACAGTGATGTCACTCGGCTACCCCCCAAACTGCCTCCAAGGTACAAAAGAGCCGAAATATTTGTGCACGATCAAAAGAGAAGGCACGGCCCGGAAGGTGACCCTTTCAAAGTACCATTAGATTCTGCGGCCTCCGGGCTGGGGTCCGGAGGAGGGTGCGCGCACTCGGAGCTCTAGCTGGTTTCCACCACCCCACTGCCTCGCCGCTCGGCAGCCAGGCTACTACGAATCCCAACGCGACGGTTCGGTGCCGTATAGAGTATCCCCAAAAAGAACGCAGCAGGAGGAAGCCCCTGCAGGGTCCCAGGCCGAAGGGTTTAGGGAGCACTTCCCAAGAGTTGCGGGCAGCACCAAAGTCATCTTCTGAGGCCACCTCGCTGGCTTCCGGCTCCGCGGCGCCTGCCCTCCCCGAGTCACCGCAGAAGCCGCACCGCTAGGGGTCCGGGGCGCCACGCTGGGGAAGGTCGGAGGGTCCGGAGCGCGGTAGAGCGAGGCGGCAGGAGGCGCCGGGATGGCGAGAGGCGGGGGTGGGTGGCAGGGTCAGGGTCGGAGGGTCCCGGGGCGCCGGGCGGGGGTGGGGGCCAGGCGGCCTGGAGGGCCGGGGCAGTGCGGGCCTCTTACCTGTGGTGGAGAGCACGGTGCTGGCGAAGAAGAGCGCGGAGGTGAAGTCCCAGTTCCAGTTGCCCGAGGCGTTGCTGAGCACCGACACGCCGTAGTTGCTGGCCTCCAGCACCCGGCCCAGGAACTGCTCGAGCTGCTGCTCCGACAGGCACTCGTGCTCCTCCAGGAAGCGCCGCTTCAGCTTGCGCAGCTCCTGGCGCAGCAGGTCCTCGTAGGGCAGCTCGACCGAGGAGAAGACCACGGCGCCGAAGACCAGGTAGAGCAGGTAGCCGAGCACCAGGAAGCCGAAGCACCAGGCCGAGCGGTGCCGCTCCACCAGGCGCACGCACGAGCTGCCGGCCAGGGACTGCAGCATCTTCGCCGCCGCCGCCGCCAAAGCCAAGGCCAACGCCGCAGACCGGCCGGAGCGCGGCCCGCCGCCCCCGCCCCGCTCGGCCCGCGCCCGCCCAGCGCCTCCGGGCACAGCCGGCTCCCTGCGATTGGCTCACTCGGGCGATGTTTTTCTTCCTTCTTTTCCTGTTTCCTTGCAATATAAAAAGCCCAGATGATGTGGCGCTGACGTGGTTGCCGGCTCAGGTAACCAGAGAGTCAGCGGAGACCGCGCGCAAACTTGGCCGGGGCCCGGGACGCCCCAGCCCTTCGCGCTGTCCCGAGGGGCGGGGCGGGGGCTCGGCGGCGCGCAGACCCTAGCGGGGTCACCGCGGCTCCTCTCGCTCCCTCCCCGGGTCCAGTAACCAAGCCCGAGCGGGCCGCGCGGTGTGTGCGCGTCCGTGTGTCCGGGTGCGTGTGTGGTTGCGTGTGTCCGTGTGTGTGTGTCCCGCGCGCCTGAGTGTGGTGGGGCCACTTCTGGGCGGTGCGCTGGCCGGCCGAGCCCCCTGTCCGAGCGATGCCCCTGTCTCCCTCGTATTTCCTCCTAATCAAAGCCGGTATGACAAAATAGCGAGGGCTGAAATACTTTCCTTCTCTGTCTCCTTGGCTGGAGGGTTGAGCAATCTGGTGCCTGCGATCTTGAAAATACCAGAACCTCAGAATGGAAGGCACCTTGGCTCAGGAAAGTCTGTTCCCTCCCGCCCACCCTCTCACAAGGGAAAGTTTTAGAAAGGGCCCATTTCTGAGCTCTAATTCTCTAAAACGTGACCTTAGGTTTTATAGTAAAGAAATGTCCCAGTGTATCAACTATGAGAAGAAACAACTTTCCCAGGTGTTTCTTTTTAGGGTGACAAAAATATTGACGAGGGTTGGTGAGCTGCCTTATTGTGGATGAGAGTAAAAATCCATGTCCCCTCTCTGGAAAGGCGATTTGGCAGTATGTTTCAAGAGCCTTGACAGAGTTTGTGTTCTAATTCAGTGATGTGTCCTAAGAAAAAGTAAGCAGGCAACCATGATATGCAAGGCTGTTCATAGATGGTATCTATGCATACATACATGTGTTGTATAACATACTACATATGTATGTGAGATGTTTATATTTAGAGATATTTACTGTGTAGATGAAATAATGTAGAATCAGGAACAATGTAAATATTCCAAAATAGAAAACGGTTAAATCACTTATGGTATCTCTACAGCATGAATACTGTGTAGCCATTAAAGATGTGTTGAAGACTACTGATGCAAAACTGCGTAGAATCTCAAATATGCAAAACATTTGTATTTTGTGTTGTAAAACAGAACTATATCTACATAATTGATCTACTGCATGGAAATTAAAAACCGGCTCCTAGTAATTGTCTTCGGGTAGTAGTGGAGTACATAGGTGACTTTCGTTTCTTGTACCTGTTTCTTATTTTTCAAATTTTCTACAATAGACATTTTTGTAATCAGGAAAAATATTAAAAATAAACAAAACTAAACGGTACAATCATTTATTACAAAACCTAGCCTGAGGTTCTTTTTAAAAAGGTCGTATTTTCAGACTAATGACCAACAAATATATGAAAAAATGCTCAGCATCTCTAATCATCAGGGAAATGCAAATTAAAACCACAGTGAGATATCACTTAACTCCAATGAGAATGACTTTTATGAAAAAGTTCCAAAACAACAAATGTTGGTGTGGATGCAGAAAGATGGGAACACTCATACACTGCTGGTGGGACTGCAAACTTTCCTCTGTGGAAAGCAATATGCGGATACCTCAAAGAGCTATAAGTAGAACCACCATTTATTTGATCCAGCAATCCCACAGATAAGGAAAACCCCCATCTGTTACTTGGCACATCAGCCACCTGAGACCACCCCCCCTCACAGAAGACTCGCATCAGCATAATACTAACCTACTACCTGGCCCATCAGCTAATCTATTACCTGGCACATCAGCGTAACACTAAATCTACTACCTGGGGCATCAGCATAGCACTAAATCTATTATCTGACACATCAACTAACCTATTACCTGGCAGGCATTAACCACCTGACACCCCACCCCCCAGACCACCACAACTTAATAAAAGTGGGAAAAATCGGGTAGACGGGGCTCAGAATTTGGTGGTGAGACCCCTCTGAGCCCGCCGGTGAATAAACTTTGATTCTCCCACTCTCCGTGTGCTGCTCAGTTTGTCCTCAGGACCACTCGCTGTAACACTTGCTGTAACACCATTACTGGACATCTACCCAAAGGAAAAAAAGACATTCTATAATAAAGACATCTGCACTAGAATATTTATAGCAGCACAATTCACAATTGCAAAGATGTGGAAACAACCCAAGTGCCCATCAATACATGAGTGGATTAACAAAATGTGGTACATGTATACCATGGAGTACTACTCAGACACGAAAAATACCGATGATCTAGCACCTCTTATATTATCCTGGATAGAGCTGGAGGCCATTCTACTAAGTGAAGTATCACAAGAACGGAAAAACAAGCACCACATGTACTCACCATCAAATTGGTATTAACTGATCAACACTTACGTGCACATTTAGTAGTAACATTCATCAAGGAGTGTCGGGCAGGTGGGAGAGGGGAGGAGGGGATGAGAATATTCACACCTAATGGGTGCGGTGAGCACCGTCTGAAGGATGGACACCCTTGAAGCTCTGACTCGGGTGGGGCAAAGGCAATATATGTAACTTAAACATTCGTACCCCTATAATATGCTGAAATAAAAAAGGTCATATTTTGTATTTTCATAGAAACTCTCATGAAAATGTCTAACATACATGGGTGATTTTTCACTTTCACTAAATAACCTCTCCTCCTATGTTACTCAGAAGATTGAAATCATCCCTCCACTTTACTTCTCTGCACTTCAAAATCTCATCAGTAATCTATTTCTTTCCTCTGCACTTACCCTGAGGAAAAACAGGTGCCTCCTTATTTTCAAGGTGAAGTTATTAACCTGCCACTCCCAGTCCCTCAGACTCTGGGAAGCCTTACCTTATCAGCGAGTACCCTACTCTTTTAGAACATGAATTTCTCCTTCTCTACTAGCTCCTTGCTTTTTGCTTGCAAATCATGTCAAGTCTCCATCCTGCACTGTCCTCTGCAGGTGCTCTATAACCCTTGCTCACTCTAACCTTGATCTTTGCCTATTTGACCTGTTGCGGGACCTCTTTGTTCCTGAGGCCATCTCCCCCTGCAGCACATCCTCATCATTCTCCTCCTGCCTCTGATGGTGACTTATATCCCCATGTCTCTGCTCACATGATTCCTTATGCTCAGACAGTCCCTCCTCCATCTCCATCTGTGATAGAGTTTCTATACTTCAGGGCCTGGCTTGGATGCCAAACCTCATCCATGAAACCTCTAATGCCCCAAAGGGATGTGATTTCTTCCTCCTCTCAAGCCACATAACTCTTTGAATGCCAGAGTTTGTGGGGTACTAGAGATTAACTGCATGTACAGGTGTGGTTATATCATTGCACACTCAAATATACAAACATACATATGGCAGCTTTTGATACTCCCTCATCAAAAGGTAGGCTTTGTGTCCCCGGTTTCTGAATCTGGGTGTACTTGTGACTGCTTCAACAAACAGAGTGCAACAGAGATGATACTAGGTGATTTCTAAGGCTAGATCATAAAAGGTCAGCAGCTTCCAACATTGTTGGAATGGAACTCTCCTCTGGAACTCTCCACTGGAACTCTCCTCTCTTGGAGCTCTGAGCCTTTACATAAGATATCCGATTACCTTGAGGCTGCCATGCTGGAGAAGCCACACGTAGGTGCACCAGGTGACAGTTGCAATTGAGCCCAGCCTTCTGACCAGACATATGAGCGCAGCCATCTTCAACCTTCAGGCCAGGCTATCCACCTGCCGAATACCACTAGGTGATATAACTCAGTCCATGCCCCCTAGAACAGAAGAATTTCCCAGCTGAGCTCCATCTGAATTGTGAAATATAATCAGATGGTTGTTTTAAGCCACTAAATTTTGGGGTAGCTTGTTATACAATAATAGGTAACCAATGGCATGCATCTGGCTGAACCTTAAAAATCATCATTAGAAGTTTTCTTCCAAAGAATTTGCCATTCTTCCCATATTTCACTTCTCTAGCTAAGACTGTGCCCCAGTTCTGTATTGCAGCTAAGCCAAAGATACGAAATACTTTCAAATCATATTTACCCTCAGACTACAAGTAGGAACTGGAAATATCAGGAGAGTGGGCCGATGAGGGCATAGGCCCTGCCCTGCAGGGTGAGATCTGTGGAGTACAACCTGGGTGTGCGGCTGAGGGATGCAAAGATGTCTCTAGTTCAGGCTCTCCAAGATGATGTGAATCCTGATCATACAGGTTTGCTGTCTCCCTTCCTCTTTCTGGCCCACTTGCTCTGGGAAGATTCACCTGTCTTCAAGGAAGTTAGCAATCTCAGAAATGTTAGGATTTTTCCTTCTGTTAAAACCTTTACCCTATATGATTTGTATGTGCCTCACTGCTGACTAGCTACTTCCCCCAGGCCTCCTCCCAACATGGATTCAGGAGATCATCTGAGCTGACATCCCTGCTGCCTCACTCACACTCCCGATGCCAGAGGCCATACCTAATCATTTCTCAGAGGATAAAGGGAATATGGAAGAGAACTCAGAGAAGAGTGCAGAGATACACAAGAGGGGTGCAGGTGTGGAGTGGGAGAGGGAAGAGGGTGGAGGAAGCGGCCCTGGCTGTTTTCTGCATCAGTGTTACCTCTAATTGACGTAATTCGTAGACTGGTGACCACGCTTTGTGAAAACCAACCTCGCACTTGGCACAGAGCCTCGCAAGTTAATCTGACATAGAGCTAATGATGTAAATGATCACTAATGTGTTGTCTGATAATTAGGCATAAATCGGCTTAATTATCTCAGCAGATTGAGATGATGAGATCAATTTTGTAGAGATGGTAGCTCTATAGGAAAGTCTTTCATTTGGGATCAAAAAGTGAAACTCACAAATACGGATTCAGGGAAATCCAATCAATCAGCAACAAGTACAGAAATTTAGCACTTGCAATTCCACTTCTGAGTATACACCCAAAAGAA